ACACCATCAGCTCCGGCCCACTCTCCACCTCTCAAAGCCATCAGGAACCTCGGGGTTCCCCTCGACCCTGAGCCGTCCTTTCTCCTCATATCCGCCCACAACGGCACCGCCTTCCATCACCTCCGGAACATGGCCGGACTACCTCACCCCTCACCCCTCACGCTGCTGACACTCTGGTCCACATCTTTATCACCTCAAGGCTGGACTATGGGAACTCTCTCCTCGTCGGCCTTCCCTCCACACTGCAGGTCATCCAGAACTCTGCAGCTCCTGTACTGTCCCGCACCACATTACTCCCACCCTCACCCTCACTCCCACCCTCGCCCTCACCTTCACCCTCGCCCTCACTCGCCTCCACTGGCTCCCCATCCCCAGAGGATCGAATTCAAGATCCTCATCCTCACCTATAAGGCCATTCACGGCCTCGCTCCCCTCCTCTCTGACCTACTATCCCCCTACCTACCTGCCCGTACCCTCCGTTCCTCTGGCTCCGGTCTGCTCCACATCCCCCGCCCCAACCGCCCTACCATCGGTGGCCTTCAGCCTCTCAGCCCCCAGGCTCTGGAACTCTATCCCCAGTGCCTTCGCCGCTTCCTCCCTTTCCTCCTTCAAGGCCGGTCTCAAGACCTTTCTCTTCAACAGTGCCTTCAGCTCCACTCTCGACTCTCTACCCCCTCCTCGCTCCCCCCTTCCCTCCCCTCATCCTGACCATTCCCCCCCGCTCGGCCCCCCAACTGTCCAGCGCCTTGGGACGTCCTCCCGACGTGAAAGGCGCTTTAAGACATAATTTTCCGGTCCACAAATCAAGAGTGGGTTACCAACTGAGCCAATGATGATAATAATACTAACAATAATCCTTGCAATCGATACAGCGCCTTATCACGCCGTTGAGACGTCTCAAAGTGCTTCACAGGACACACTGAAAAGTGTAGTGACTTTAAAGAATTCCAAGTATTTTGTGGGCGAAACGTGGCAGCCAATTGCACCCAGGAGTGTGCCTCCCACACACAGTCGTGGAGTGGGCGACCAAATTTATGATTTTTTTAAAAAAAAGTATTTATTTTCGAGCCAAAAACTGTCACCCACACACAGAGAACTTCTGACAGTGTCTTTTCCAAAAACAAAATGACTACTAAGTTAGCTGTACAGGTTACTCCCTCGCTTTCGAATCCCTTTTGTTCTTCCGCACCTCCCCCCCCTCCGACCTGCTCCCCCCCCCCCCTCCCCACTGCCTCCGCTCAGCAAGCTCCGGCCTCCTGTCTGTCTCTCGCCCCCTCCGCTCCACCATCGGTAAATGCAATTAGCTGTTGTAAATGGAGTTGAGATACAGATCAGCCGTGATCTAATAGAATGGCGGAACAGGCTTGAGGGGCTGAATGGCCTCCTCCTGTACCTGTGTTCTGATCTCATTGCTCGCTCCTCCCCAAATACCAGTCTTGCACCATCTCAGTGTTAGGCATTGCCGATCTTACACAGCAGACGGCACAAGACCCCAATTTGAGTGTCCGCAGCATTGACACTGTGTGAGTGCGTACCTGTGCCTCAGTGAGCTGTTGCTTGAGGCCCCGTAGCTTCAGAAGTGCTTCTAATGCAGTAGATTCAAACACACACTACCTGCACTAACAGCACTTTGGAGCTCCGAGACCCATCAGTCTCTGAAAACATAAACCACCACCACCACCAACAACAAATGACAATTACAGAGACTTTCACGTCGGGCAAGAATAATAATAATAGTAATCCTTGCATTTGACATAGCACCTTATCAAGTCTTTGAGATGCTTCACAGGATACACTGTAAAGTGTGTTTTGCGGGCAATACAGTAAGGGTAGCTCAGACTGGCAGCGGTGTGGGCAGTGGTGTTGCACAAGGACTGGTATTGGGACCCACTGTTGTTCACAACTTACATTAATGGTTGGACTCCGGGATCGAAAGTACAATTTCGAAATACGTGGCCGACACCAAATGGGGGGAGGGGGGGGGGGGAGGTTGTTAATACTGAGGGGCGGCAGCAACAGATTACAACAGGACGTCAATAAACTTGCTGGATGGGCACTGAATTGGCAAATGAATTTCAATCTAAATAAGTGTGAGGTGGTCCATTTTGGTTGGAGGGATCAGGAGGTCACATCCTGACTGGAAAATAAGAATCTAAATGGGGGAGAGGAGCAAAGGGGTACGGATACACAAAAATCACTAAAACTAGCAACGCAGCTAATAAAGCCATAACCAAGTGTTGGGGTTGATTTCTAGAGGGATAGAAATGAAAAGCAGAGCAGTTGTGCTAAACTTATATCAAACCTTAGTTAGACCAGACTTGGGAGTACTGTGTGCAGTTCTGGTTCCCATGTTATAGAAATGATGGAAGGGGTGCAAAGGAGATTTACAAAGATGATCCCAGGGTATAAATGAGAGGTTATACCTATCAGGAAAGGCTGAACAAACCTGGACTCTTTCTCTTGAAAAAAAGGGTGATAGAGGTCTTTAAAATGATGAAAGGTTTTGATAGGGTATAAAGCCGTAGAGAAGATGTTTCCACTTGTGGGGGAGACCAAAACCAGGGGCCATCAATATAAAATAATCACCAATAGATCAACTAGGGAAGTCAGAAGAAACTTCTCTACCCAGAGAGTGGTGGGAATGTGGAACATGCTCCACAAGGAGTTGTTGAGACAAATAGCACAGATGTATTTAAGGGGAAGCTGGAGAGGTACATGAGGGAGAAAGGATTAGAAGGTTCTGCTTGAAGGCTTAGTCGAGGAAGGACAGGAGGAGACTCATGTGGAGCATCAACACCGGCAGAGACCAGTTGGGCCAAATGGCCCGTTTCTGTCCTGTATATTCTATGTAATTCTACGTATACAGTCGTCAAAATGCAGGCAGATAATTGCGCACAGCAGTGTCACACAAACAGTCGTAGACCGAGTGACCACATTTTGAAGGGATTATTACTCCCGGTAGCGATCCGCCAATCGGACCAACAAGCAGGTTCCTACTTTACTGCTACAAGACTGAGGGTGTCTGTTGTGTGTCTGTATGTGTGTGTGTGTGGAGTAAGGAAACTTGCCCAACGTTTCGCCCCGACTCTCCCAGGAATCGAACCCAGGTCCTCTCGCTTGTGAGGCGAGCGCTGTAGCCACTGAGCTACCCGACTCCACAATGATCGGAAACCTGTTCCCGTGTCCGGCAGGTGTCGGGGAATGGAGGCTGGGTCGGGTTGAGCAGTGCTGTAAGCCCCCACAGTGCGGCTGGTATCTAAGTCTCACTACCTGCCCTGTCAGCACTTTAACATGGACCACCCCCCCACCCCCACCCCCACCTGGAACATTCGACTGACACATGCACCGACCGGGCCCTTCTGTGACCCAGCACGGACACAGCTCCTGTTCATCACACACCACAGTTTCAAACCTGCTTCCCTCATAGCCTCATGGCATCTCGACAGCCAAGCACCTCACACTTAAATAATAATAAAGATCCTTGCATTTGATACAGTGCCTTATCACATCTCCGATAAGTCTCAAAGCGCTTCACAGGATATACTCAAAGTGTAGTGACGGTGTATTTTGTGGCCGAAACATGGCAACCAATTGCTCACAGCAGTGTCCCACCAACAGTCGTGGATTGCCGTGACCAAATTATTATTATTATTTTTTTGGGAAAGGATTATTACCCCCGGAAAAGCGATCCGCCAATCGACTAACGACTAACAAGTGGGTTCCTACTTACTGCTGGTAGACAGAGGCGCGTGCGTGCAGTTAGGAAACTTCCCTAAGGTCTCGCCCTGCCCTGCTCAGGAATCAAACCCAGGTCCTCTCGCTTGTAAGGCGAGCGCTCTAACCACTAACTACAAGACTCCACAAACATAGCCACTTTGTCCTGGGCACAAGTTTCTGGGAGTGAAATTCCACCCTCGCAGATTATGCCCCATTTATTTAAAAGGAAATTAGGTTGACACATTCCAGGGTATTAGAGGGTTTGCAGAAGAATGGGAGACTGGGTTATAAAAATATTATAATAGTACTACTAATAATAATCATCTTTGCAGTTGATACGGCACCTAATCACGTCTTAGGGACGTCTCACAAGCGATTCACAGGACACACTGTAAAGTTTAGCAACTTTTTGTGGGTGAAATTGGATGCTTCATTGGTGGAATGAACACCGGAGACAGCATTACAAATATGTCAACTGACTGACTGTGAGGTTTGGATTAGAGTGGCACCAAGTCCACTGGGCTCCCCAACCTCTCCCTCCATAAGCTGCAGATCATCAGAACTCTGCAGCCCGTGTCCTCTCCCAGGATCCACGACCCTATCATCCCCACCCTCGCCCAACTCCACTAGCTTCCCATCACGCAGAGGATACAGTTCAAGGTCCTCACCTTCAAAGCCCTCCACGGCCTCGCTCCTCCCTACCTCTGTGACTTCCAAATCCCTACCAACCTATCCGCTCTCTCTGTCCAGCGGGCTCCGGCCTGCTTCATGTTCCCCGTCTCGCCCGTCCCACCATTGGCCTTCAGCCTCTGCCCCCACTCTCTGGAACTCCATCCCCCAGTCCCTCCGCCTCGCTCCTCCCTTCCTCCTTCAAAGTCTGTCTCAAGACCCTCCTCTTCGATCGTGCCTTTGGTCTCCCTCCTAAACCCCCCCCACCACTGAACCTGCTCTCCAGGCTGTTGTTTGGGTTGTCGTCACCAATGAGTGTAAAACACAAAGTATTAATAATAATAAGTCTTGCATTGTTATAGCCCCTTATCACACACCGTTGAGATGCTTCAAACCGCTTCACAGGATACACTGTAAAGTCTCGGCCCCTCCCTTGCCTCCTTCGAGACCCTCCTTTTGGACCGCGCCTTTGGTCACCCTCCCTGATCCCAACCTTCAGCTTGGGTCCAAATCCCTGACTGTCCAGCACCTTGCGATGGCCTCCTGACATGAGAGGCGCTGTGTAGATGTCATGTTGTTGTTGTATGGAGTGGGACAGTTTGACAGATACGCACCAGGGCGGTGGGCGATGCGCAGGATGGAGAGCAGGGTCCTGGCTGAGGTGAAGGTGGTTAGTAAGTGTACCCCCAATATCCCGGGGGGAGCAAAATCTTAGTCAAGTTTCTTACTCTACACACACACTACTCTGTTACCTAGTAGTAAGTAGGAACCCGGTTGTTAGTCGATTTTCCGGGATGAATAATCCCTCCAAAAAAGTAATTTGCTCAATCAATCCACGACTGTTTGTGGGACACCCTTGGGTGCTGTTGGCTGCCGCGTTTCACCCGCAAAATATACAGTCAATTCACTTTACTTCCAATGTTCTTATGTTCCAATTTCAGATCCAGTCTCCCACCTTCATGCCGCTGATCATGTGTCCGAGCCGCGAGTGTCAGACCAACAAGTCGGGCGGAAGGCTTTACCTGCAATCCCGAGGATCCAAGTTCATCAAGTTCCAGGAGATTAAACTGCAAGAGCATGTGAGTGTCTGACAATGTGAGTGCCTCACAGCATTGGGCAGGGAGAGCGCTTGTTAACTGCCCTTCTGCACGTGTGTGTGTGTGCGCACGTGTGTGTGTGTGTGTGTGTCAGCCCGGCTCAGTAGTGCTCTTGCTTCTGAGTCAGAAAGTTATGGGTTCAAGCCCCACGTCAGGACTTAGAATCATGCAGTCTCAGCTGATGCTCCAATGCAGCGCTGGGGGCTGCTACACTGTTGGAGACCCCGTCCTTCAGATGAGAAGTTAAACCGCGCTCCCTGTCTGCCTGTTCAGGTGGACATTAAAGATCCCGTGGCACTATTTGAAAAGAGAAGAGTTTCTCTCTCCCAGTGTCCCGGCCAACAATCCCCCCAAATAAAATTGGTCGCTCACTGCACGACTGTTTGTGGGACGTCGCTGTGCGCAGTTGGCTGCCGCGTTTCGCCCCAAAACACACGGTCACTACACTTTACTGTGAAGTGCCTTGAGACATCTTGAGGGTCCTGTAGCTCAGTGGTTAGAGCACTCGTCTTGCAAGCGAGACACCTGGGTTAAATTTCAGGCAGAGGGCGAAACCTTGGGCAAGTTTTCTTACTCCACACAGAGCCTAATAATAATCCCTCCAAAAGGCAAAACAATAATAAATGAGTCATTTTCAATCCACGACTGTTTGTGGGACATTGCTGTGCGCAATTGGCTGCCGCGTTCGCCCACAAATATACAGTCAATTCACTTTACAGTATATTCTGAGAAGCGCTTTGGGACTTCTAGAAGATGTGAAAAGCGCTGTATGAAATGCAAGGATTATTATTATTATCTTGAAGACCTGAGAAGGCGTTGTATTGAAACGTCAGGATGGATATTATTATTAATATTATTACTGTTGTTGTCTTTGTGCAGAGTGACCAGGTGCCGATCGGAAACATCCCCCGCAGCATGTCGGTGTTCGCGCAGGGAGAGAACACCAGGCTGGCCCACCCTGGAGACCACGTCAGCATCACAGGCATCTTCCTGCCCATGATGAAGGCTGGCTTCAGGCAGGTGGTACAGGTGAGTCGAGCAATATGTGTCACAGCTACCCAGCTCAGCCCGAAGCCTTCATATTTGGGCATAAAGCACTGTTTGTCCCTCGTCCCCTCCACTCCCCCATCCCCCAAAGGATACAGTTCAAAATCCTCGTCTTCACCTTCAAAGCTCTCCATGGAGAGCCTTGCTCCTTCCTAGCTCTGTGACCTGCAAACCCCTTATCAACCTTTCTGCTCCCTCCACTCTGCAGGATCCGGCCAGCTTCATGTCTCTCCACCATCGGGAGTCGGGCCTTCAGCCTGTCTGCCCCCGCCCTCTGGAACTCCATCCCACAGTCCGTCCACCTCGCCCCCTCCATAGCTTCATGGTTCTCCATGGCTCAAGAACCTTCTCTTCGACATGCGTTCGGCCACCCTCCTACCCCAACCCTCCCTGCCCTCTACCCCTCCTGATCCCAACCCCTCAGGTACAAATCCCTGACTGTCCAGTGCCTTGGGACGTCCTTCGGACAAGAAAGGCGCTATGCCTTCAGCCACTATGCCCCTCAAGCCTTCTGACTTCCCTCCCTCCCTCCCCACTTTCAAATGCCCCTGAAAGACCNTTTTTGATTGTGCTTTCGGTCACCTCCCTCTCTCCCCCTGGCTTGCGTTGAGACTCACCCACTACACAGGGGGCTGTGTTGTTACTTGGGCGGGGGAGTTGGTGGCTGCCACAAAATACAGTCACTTCAGTTTACATTGTATTATGTGAGGCGCTTTGAGACGTCTGGACGACGTGATAAGGCGCTGCATCAAATGGTATTATTATTATTATGAGCACTGTCGGTGATTTCAGGGGCTGCTGGCGGAGACGTACTTGGAGGCACACAGGGTCAGTCAGATGAACAAAAGTGAGGATGATGAGCTCGGGAGCCAGGAGCTGAATGAGGAGGAACTGCGACAGATCACAGGTATGTAGTCGAGGGGCTAACACGCAGGTGAGCGGAGCTGGGTATGATCCTGAGAGCTTCTGTCACTCTCCCTCAATTCCTCCGCCTCGCCACCCCCCCCACCACCACCACCACCTCCTCCCCATCTTCAGATCGCTTGTCAGTCGATTGGTCATCACTTTCTGGGGGAAATAATCCCTCCAAAAACAATAATCATTTCACCCACAAAATATACAGTCAATTCGCTTTACAGGACATCCTGTGAAGTGCTTTGAGACGTCTCAAAGTCGTGCTACGGCGCTAGATCAAACACAAGGATTATTATTATCATCATCACGGCTGAAGACCTTCCTCTTCGACCATGGCATACGGTCACCTCCTTCCCCCACCGGCTCGGAGTCGTGCTCCCTCACTGTCAAGCGCTCTGGGGCACTGCCCTGCGTGAGGGGCGCTGTGTAACTGCAAGTTGTTGTTGTCTGCGACCCTTGTGCCTCTCCCCACAGAGGAGGATTTCTATGAGAAACTCGCTGCCTCCATCGCCCCTGAGATCTATGGTCACGAGGATGTAAAGAAGGCTTTGCTGCTGCTCCTGGTTGGGGGTGTGGACCAGTCACCCAAAGGCATGAAAATCCGAGGTAAGAAGTGTGGGTGTGTGGGGTGGGGGGTGTCTAACCAAGTGACAACCAATACCCTCATCCACACCTTTGGCACCTCCAGTCATGATTTTTGTAAGCACGTCTGGAGATCCTCTTCTTCGATCGCACCTTCGGCTGCCCTTCTACCCCCACCCTCTCTGCCGTCCATCATCCCTGATCCCAACCCCCAGCTCGGGTCCGTAATCCCTGACTGCCCTGTGCCTTGGGACATCCTCCCGATGTGAGAGGTGCTAAACAAATGTAATTTTGTATTGTATCGGAACGTCTTACTTGCTTTGAGATGTTCTCCCAACTTCAATGGCGCTATATAAGTGTGAATTATCTCCTGAGTCCACACACACACGCCTCTGTTTACCTCGCAGTAAGCAGGAACCCGCTTGTTAGTAGGATGGCGGATCGCTTTCCGGAGGGTAATATTCCCTCCAAAAATATCTTATAATAATAATTTGTTCACTCAATCCACGACTGTTTGTGGGACACCGCTGTGCGCAATTGGCTGCTGCGTTTCGCCCACAAAACATTCAGTCAATTCACTTAACAGTGTATTCTATGAAGCGCTTTGATACTTGTGTGATAAGGCGCTATATCAAATGCAAGGATTATTGTTAATATATTATCAAAGCTCTTACTTACGGTGCTCAAGTAGGTTGAATTGAGCTGTAACACTGGAAGAGAGGAATCTGGATGAGAGGGAATGATATAATGATCTTAACTTTTCCTCTGATCCTTAGGGAACATTAACATCTGTTTGATGGGAGATCCAGGAGTTGCCAAGTCTCAGTTGTTGTGCTACATCGACAGGCTGGCCCCAAGAAGTGAGTGTATAACTACCCATGTAGAGTCCTGTAGTGTAGTGGCTAGAGTTCTCGCCTCGCAAGCGAGAGGACCTGGGTTCGATTCCCACGTCCTGTTAGGGCGAGACTTTACTCAACACACACACACACCCACGTGCGCGCCTCGGTTTACCAGCAATAAGTCGGAACCCGCTTGTCAGTCGATTGGCGGATCCCTTTCTGGGGGGGTAATAATCCCCTTTTTTTTAAAAAAAAGTCACTCGATCCACGACTGTTTGCGGGGACGCTGCTGTGCGCAATTGGCTGCCGCGTTTCGCCCACAAAATACACAGTCGCTACGCTTTACAGCGGGTGTTGTTCGCAGGTCAGTACACCACGGGGCGGGGCTCCTCTGGGGTTGGGCTGACGGCTGCGGTGATGAAGGACTCAGTGACGGGGGAGATGACCCTGGAGGGAGGTGCTCTCGTGCTGGCTGATCAGGGCGTCTGCTGTATCGACGAGTTTGACAAGATGATGGACTCGGACCGCACGGCCATTCACGAGGTGATGGAGCAGCAGACCATCTCCATCGCTAAGGTAAGCCCAGTGTGGAAAGTCTGGCTGGGTTCCCTCCTGGTCATCCAGCTCCTATTCCTCACTGTGTTTCTGCCCACCCACCCTCTGGAACTCCCTCCCTTGCCCCTCTGCCTCGCTCCCACCCTGGCCTCCTTCAAGGCCCATCTCAAGACCCTCCTCTTCGATCGCGCCTTCAGTCACCCTCCTACTCCCCCCCCACCCGTCCTGCCCTCCTGCTTGTCTCTCATGCCCTCCGTTCCACCACGGGTGACCGCGCTTTCAGCCACTGCTCCCCGAAACTCTGTCGAGCTCTCCCTCGATCCCTCGGCCTCGCCCCGTACTTCCCCGTACTCTGCCCACAAAACATAGTCAATTCCCTTTGCAGTGTATCCTGCGAAGCGCTTTGAGACGTCTCAAAGATGTGATAAGGCACTGCATCAAACGCAAGGATTATTATTATTATCTTCAGGTCGCGCCTGAAGACCTTCCTCTTCGACCGTGGTTAGGGTCACCTCCCCCCCCCCCCACCACCACCACCCCTCCCGTGCTTCGCCACCTGTCAAACGATCTTGAGACGCTACCCTGTGTGAGGGGGCGAGTTGTTGTGGTGTTGTTGCTGTCCGCGCCTGCTGATTGCCTGCCTGCTCCTCTCCTCTCCTCTCCCCTGCCCAGGCTGGCATCATGACCACCCTGAACGCTCGCTGCTCCATCCTCTCCGCCGCGAATCCAGCATTCGGCCGCTACAACCCCAAGAAAACCGTGGAGCAGAACATCCAGCTGCCAGCGGCTCTGCTCTCCAGGTTTGACCTGCTGTGGCTCATTCAGGATAAGCCCGACCGCGACAACGACCTCAGGTACAGTCGTTCACCTCCTGGGGGGGGGGAGGAATGAGATTCTGACCTTCAGGGGGCCAACAACAACAACACATTACATTTACAATGTGGGGGGGACCTGAAGCAGCCGGTGTCGGCCGAGTGGAGGGAGCAGACAGGCTGATATGTCAAGAAAGTTGTAATGCCATGTGATTTGTGAATGCCCCTCTTGCTTGTTGGCTGGAACCTGTAGATTTAATGGAACTTTATCTCTTCACCCCTCCCTCCCTCTCTCTCTCTCTCTCTCCTCTCTCTATCTTCCTCCCTCCTCTATCTCCCTCCCTCTCTATCTCTTTCCCTCCCTCCCTCTCTATCTCTCTCTCTCTCTCTCTCCCTCCCTCCCTATCTCTCTCCCTCTCTCTATCTTCCTCCCTCCTCTATCTCTCTCCCTCCCTCTCTATCTCTCTCTCCCTCCAGGCTCGCGCAGCACATCACTTATGTTCATCAGCATTGCAAGCAACCGCCCTCCCAGTTCCAGCCACTGGAAATGAAGCTGATGAGGTAACGTATAATGGGGGTGTGAGAGGGGCCACTTAGGGAATCCTAGTCTCCTTTGGGATAGATTCGGAGTCCTGTAGTGTAGTGGTGAAAGCGCTTTCGCCTCGCAAGCGAGAGGATCCGGGTTCGATTCCCGTGCCAGTCAAGTCAGGGCGAAACCTTAGGCAACTTTCCTTATTCCACACACACACACACACCAGCATTGAGTTGGAACCTGTTTGTTAGTCGATTGTTGGATCATTTTCCGGGTGTAATAATCCCTCCGGAAAGAAAAATATCTCAAGACCCTCTTCTTCGATCACGCCTTCAGTCACCCTCCTACCCCCCCCCCCACCCGTCCTGCCCTCCTGCTTGTCCCTTATGCCCTCCATTCCACCACGGGTGACCGCGCTTTCAGCCACTGCTCCCCGAAACTCTGTCGAGCTCTCCCTCAATCCCTCGGCCTCGCCCCGTAGTTCCCCGTACTCTGCCCACAAAACATAGTCAGTTCCCTTTACAGTATGTCCTGTGAAGCGCTTTGAGATGTCTCAACGAGGTGATACATCGATATATCAAAGACGGTTATTATTACGTGTGGGGGAGATTTGAGTGGGTGTTGGGGGTGAGGGGCGGACTGGGTGTACAGAGGGTCAGTGTGTGGAGGGGGAGGGAATTTTGACTCGTGTTTTACCCCTGTGTCCCTCTGCTCCCGCTCGCTCAGGCGCTACATCGCTCTGTGTAAGCAGAAGCAGCCCATGGTGCCCGAGTCCCTGGCTGACTACATCACCGCAGCGTACGTGGAGATGAGGAAGGAATCGAGGAACAGTAAAGACACCACCTTCACCTCAGCCAGGACCCTGCTCTCCATCCTGCGCATCGCCACCGCCCTGGTGCGTATCTCTGTCAAACTGTCCCACTCCATACAACAACAACATGACATCTACACAGCGCCTCTCATGTCAGGAGGCCATCGCAAGGTGCTGGACAGTCAGGGATTTGGACCCAAGCTGAAGGTTGGGATCAGGGAGGGTGACCAAAGGCGCGGTCCAAAAGGAGGGTCTCGAAGGAGGCAAGGGAGGGGCCGAGACTTTACAGTGTATCCTGTGAAGCGGTTTGAAGCATCTCAACGGTGTGTGATAAGGGGCTATAACAAATGCAAGACTTATTATTATTAATACTTTGTGTTTTACACTCATTGGTGACGACAACCCCAAACAACAGCCTGGAGAGCAGGTTTCAGTGGGTGGGGGGGGGTTTAGGAGGGAGACCAAAGGCACGGTCGAAGAGGAGGGTCTTGAGACAGACTTTGAAGGAGGCAAGGGAGGGAGCGAGGCGGAGGGACTGGGGAATGGAGTTCCAGAGAGTGGGGGCAGAGGCTGCAGGCCAATGGTGGGACGGGCGAGACGGGGAACATGAAGCAGACCGGAGCCCGCTGGACAGAGAGAGCGGATAGGTTGGTAGGGGATTTGGAGGTCACAGAGGTAGGGAGGAGCGAGGCCGTGGAGGGCTTTGAAGGTGAGGACCTTGAACTGTATCCTCTGCGTGATGGGAAGCTAGTGGAGTTGGGCGAGGGTGGGGATGATAGGGTCGTGGATCCTGGGAGAGGACACGGGCTGCAGAGTTCTGATGATCTGCAGCTTATGGAGGGAGAGGTTGGGGAGCCCAGTGGACTTGGTGCCACTCTAATCCAAACCTCACAGTCAGTCAGGGGCCAGTTGACCTATTTGTAATGCTGTCTCCGGTGTTCATTCCACCAATGAAGCATCCAATTTCACCCACAAAAAGTTGCTAAACTTTACAGTGTGTCCTGTGAATCGCTTGTGAGACGTCCCTAAGACGTGATTAGGTGCCGTATCAACTGCAAAGATGATTATTATTAGTAGTACTATTATAATATTTTTATAACCCAGTCTCCCATTCTTCTGCAAACCCTCTAATACCCCGGAATGTGTCAACCTAATTTCCTTTTAAATAAATGGGGGCATAATCTGCGAGGGTGGAATTTCACTCCCAGAAACTTGTACACAGGACAAAGTGGCTATGTTTGTGGAGTCTTGTAGTTAGTGGTTAGAGCGCTCGCCTTACAAGCGAGAGGACCTGGGTTTGATTCCTGAGCAGGGCAGGGCGAGACCTTAGGGAAGTTTCCTAACTGCACGCACGCGCCTCTGTCTACCAGCAGTAAGTAGGAACCCACTTGTTAGTCGTTAGTCGATTGGCGGATCGCTTTTCCGGGGGTAATAATCCTTTCCCAAAAAAATAATAATAATAATTTGGTCACGCAATCCACGACTGTTGGTGGGACACTGCTGTGAGCAATTGGTTGCCATGTTTCGGCCACAAAATACACCGTCACTACACTTTGAGTATATCCTGTGAAGCGCTTTGAGACTTATCGGAGATGTGATAAGGCACTGTATCAAATGCAAGGATCTTTATTATTATTTAAGTGTGAGGTGCTTGGCTGTCGAGATGCCATGAGGCTATGAGGGAAGCAGGTTTGAAACTGTGGTGTGTGATGAACAGGAGCTGTGTCCGTGCTGGGTCACAGAAGGGCCCGGTCGGTGCATGTGTCAGTCGAATGTTCCAGGTGGGGGTGGGGGTGGGGGGGTGGTCCATGTTAAAGTGCTGACAGGGCAGGTAGTGAGACTTAGATACCAGCCGCACTGTGGGCGCTTACAGCACTGCTCAACCCGACCCAGCCTCCATTCCCCGACACCTGCCGGACACGGGAACAGGTTTCCGATCATTGTGGAGTCGGGTAGCTCAGTGGCTACAGCGCTCGCCTCACAAGCGAGAGGACCTGGGTTCGATTCCTGGGAGAGTCGGGGCGAAACGTTGGGCAAGTTTCCTTACTCCACACACACACACAGACACAGACACACATACAGACACACACACAGCCCTCGTGTAGCAGTAAAGTAGGAACCTGCTTGTTGGTCCGATTGGCGGATCGCTACCGGGAGTAATAATCCCTTCAAAATGTGGTCACTCGGTCTACGACTGTTTGTGTGACACTGCTGTGCGCAATTATCTGCCTGCATTTTGACGACTGTATACGTAGAATTACATAGAATATACAGGACAGAAACGGGCCATTTGGCCCAACTGGTCTCTGCCGGTGTTGATGCTCCACATGAGTCTCCTCCTGTCCTTCCTCGACTAAGCCTTCAAGCAGAACCTTCTAATCCTTTCTCCCTCATGTACCTCTCCAGCTTCCCCTTAAATACATCTGTGCTATTTGTCTCAACAACTCCTTGTGGAGCATGTTCCACATTCCCACCACTCTCTGGGTAGAGAAGTTTCTTCTGACTTCCCTAGTTGATCTATTGGTGATTATTTTATATTGATGGCCCCTGGTTTTGGTCTCCCCCACAAGTGGAAACATCTTCTCTACGGCTTTATACCCTATCAAAACCTTTCATCATTTTAAAGACCTCTATCACCCTTTTTTTCAAGAGAAAGAGTCCAGGTTTGTTCAGCCTTTCCTGATAGGTATAACCTCTCATTTATACCCTGGGATCATCTTTGTAAATCTCCTTTGCACCCCTTCCATCATTTCTATAACATGGGAACCAGAACTGCACACAGTACTCCCAAGTCTGGTCTAACTAAGGTTTGATATAAGTTTAGCACAACTGCTCTGCTTTTCATTTCTATCCCTCTAGAAATCAACCCCAACACTTGGTTATGGCTTTATTAGCTGCGTTGCTAGTTTTAGTGATTTTTGTGTATCCGTACCCCTTTGCTCCTCTCCCCCATTTAGATTCTTATTTTCCAGTCAGGATGTGACCTCCTGATCCCTCCAACCAAAATGGACCACCTCACACTTATTTAGATTGAAATTCATTTGCCAATTCAGTGCCCATCCAGCAAGTTTATTGACGTCCTGTTGTAATCTGTTGCAGCCGCCCCTCAGTATTAACAACCTCCCGCCCCCCCCCCTCCCCCCCATTTGGTGTCGGCCACGTATTTCGAAATTGTACTTTCGATCCCGGAGTCCAACCATTAATGTAAGTTGTGAACAACAGTGGGTCCCAATACCAGTCCTTGTGCAACACCACTGCCCACACCGCTGCCAGTCTGAGCTACCCTTACTGTATTGCCCGCAAAACACACTTTACAGTGTATCCTGTGAAGCATCTCAAACACTTGATAAGGTGCTATGTCAAATGCAAGGATTACTATTATTATTATTCTTGCCCGACGTGAAAGTCTCTGTAATTGTCATTTGTTGTTGGTGGTGGTGGTGGTTTATGTTTTCAGAGACTGATGGGTCTCGGAGCTCCAAAGTGCTGTTAGTGCAGGTAGTGTGTGTTTGAATCTACTGCATTAGAAGCACTTCTGAAGCTACGGGGCCTCAAGCAACAGCTCACTGAGGCACAGGTACGCACTCACACAGTGTCAATGCTGCGGACACTCAAATTGGGGTCTTGTGCCGTCTGCTGTGTAAGATCGGCAATGCCTAACACTGAGATGGTGCAAGACTGGTATTTGGGGAGGAGCGAGCAATGAGATCAGAACACAGGTACAGGAGGAGGCCATTCAGCCCCTCAAGCCTGTTCCGCCATTCTATTAGATCACGGCTGATCTGTATCTCAACTCCATTTACAACAGCTAATTGCATTTACCGATGGTGGAGCGGAGGGGGCGAGAGACAGACAGGAGGCCGGAGCTTGCTGAGCGGAGGCAGTGGGGAGGGGGGGGAAGCAGGTCGGAGAGGTAGGGAGGTGCGGAAGAACAAAAGGGATTCGAAAGCGAGGGAGTAACCTGTACAGCTAACTTAGTAGTCATTTTGTTTTTGGAAAAGACACTGTCAGAAGTTCTCTGTGTGTGGGTGACAGTTTTTGGCTCGAAAATAAATACTTTTTTTTTAAAAAAAACATAAATTTGGTCGCCCACTCCACGACTGTGTGTGGGAGGCACACTCCTGGGTGCAATTGGCTGCCACGTTTCGCCCACAAAATACTTGGAATTCTTTAAAGTCACTACACTTTTCAGTGTGTCCTGTGAAGCACTTTGAGACGTCTCAACGGCGTGATAAGGCGCTGTATCGATTGCAAGGATTATTGTTAGTATTATTATCATCATTGGCTCAGTTGGTAACCCACTCTTGATTTGTGGACCGGAAAATTATGTCTTAAAGCGCCTTTCACGTCGGGAGGACGTCCCAAGGCGCTGGACAGTTGGGGGGCCGAGCGGGGGGGGAATGGTCAGGATGAGGGGAGGGAAGGGAGGGAGCGAGGAGGGGGTAGAGAGTCGAGAGTGGAGCTGAAGGCACTGTTGAAGAGAAAGGTCTTGAGACCGGCCTTGAAGGAGGAAAGGGAGGAAGCGGCGAAGGCACTGGGGATAGAGTTCCAGAGCCTGGGGGCTGAGAGGCTGAAGGCCCGGCCACCGATGGTAGGGCGGTTGGGGCGGGGGATGTGGAGCAGACCGGAGCCAGAGGAACGGAGGGTACGGGCAGGTAGGTAGGGGGATAGTAGGTCAGAGAGGTAGGAGGGAGCGAGGCCGTGAATGGCCTTATAGGTGAGGATGAGGATCTTGAATTCGATCCTCTGGGAGATGGGGAGCCAGTGGAGGGGAGTGAGGGCGAGGGTGGGAGTGAGGGCGAGGGTGGGAGTGAGGGCGAGGGTGGGAGTAATGTGGTGCGGGACAGTATAGGAGCTGCAGAGTTCTGGATGAGCTGCAGTGTGGAGGGAGGGCCGGGAAGGCCGACGAGGAGAGAGTTCCCATAGTCCAGCCTTGAGGTGATAAAGATGTGGACCAGAGTGTCAGCAGCGTGAGGGGTGAGGGGTGAGGTAGTCCGGCCATGTTCCGGAGGTGATGGAAGGCGGTGCCGGTTGTGGTGCGGATATGAGGGAGAAAGGACGGCTCAGGGTCGAGGGGAACCCCGAGGTTCCTGATG